GTCATCAAAACCGCAAGCCCTGCTCTCCACACACACCTTCCTTCCCTCGCCCCTTTCCAGCTCCTCACCATCATTTCCATCCGCTGCACTGCCGTACGGTAAACGACCACGGCAATTTTCTTCCTATTGTAACCACAGGGGTAACTAACGAAGAGTAAGTAATTAGCAAAGAATAAAGTGGGGCTGCTACGACCTGAAGTATTTCAGCATGGCTGGCTGTGTATGTGGTTTAGCTGAACCAGAAGTTCTGGGATCGCTGGAATTGCCGGCGGTGAAACCGTGGTCCCCGTGGTGCAGGTCAGACGTAGGGGGTTATAACAGTCTGATTTTAAAATCTATTTATTCTACTCTTCCAGCTTGACGGCGATGGCTCAGCTCTGTGTGTGTAAACCGAACCCCCCTCTGATCAGCGCGATGTTCTCATGCTCTCTGACCTTTTCGGTAGGTGGCAATTCTGATCGTACCCTCTCCCGTGACATCCCGTCAAGCCCTCTCCTGCTCTCACAGCTGACGGCCCTCCCCGCCCCGCGCCCCTAACTGGGAATTTCCCTTCCTTCCTCCATCCACAGCCACCGTTGCCCTGTTCTGCTGCTCTCCTGAGCAGGATGTTTGTGCTCTCCCCCACATCCGCGCCGGAGGAGCTGCCTCTCCCCGTTGAGACTCCTGGACTAAGGCTTTGCTGTGCCTTCCCCTCCTAACCCCCGGCTCTGCCTCAAACAATGCCAGCTCTCCGCTGTGCTCCCGCTTTCCACCTTCCGACGTGCGCTTTGTTAGCAGGAGCGCCGCTTTTCCCTCTCCGCCTTTGTGTTCCCCTGATACGCGTGCCCCAGGAGGGCAGGGGAGCGCTCGGTGGCGTGGGGGCTCCTCTGAGGCAGCCTCCGCCGCCACGTCCCTTTCTTTCCATCTCAGCAGGGCGACCTAGGAAACTCTGACCGAGGAGCAGATGATCTGTAGCGTTAGCAGCACACCCAAACTAACCTCTGCGCTTTTTTTCATTTGTTCTCGTAGGTTTTGAAAAGGAAGTTACGGTCTATATATAGCTAGTAGGAAAATCTTGCCTCACAGCAAATTGAAGACGTGTTTTACCTGAGGTGTTGCATGCAAACAGTTGCATTTTAAACACGGGCCTTTCTAAAGCCAAGTGGTAGAGAGAAGGATTTTCACTGTTATGTTTCAAAGTGAACATTTCTGGTCCCTTCCAACTGTACCAATACAATATATTCCTGACACAGATGCCTGTTTCTTTTTCCAGTCCCTGGGCATGTGGTTTTATCGTAGCTCTGTGCTTCCTTAGTGGAATTAAAGAGTAGGGTTTAGTAGCTCTGAGGCAGGAAATCCTGTATTTTCACAGCTCTAAGGATTTCATACTGTTTGATCTCAATAATACCTTAACTCCTGCAGCAAACGGGCCTGAGGGACCACTTCAAATGATTACAAGACAAAAAGCCTGGGTAAGTTTGGGTTACTTCTGGTAAAACAAACATGGGAGAGAAAGGAGGTGGAGGGAAAGACGGCCGTAGCTCTGAGTCTTTACGGAGCAACGAACTTCTTTTTATACAGTTGAACTCCACGGGCCACATACTCGGGCAGAAAGGTCTGGCAAATACCCGATTTGTGGCAGCCACGCTACCACCCTGATTACTTTTGAAGAGTTTGATGATTGATTTTGTTTCCTACTGTACTTTTAGTCCAATTCAGTAAGGGTTTTTATTAGCTGTTGTGGCCATACTTGCTTTTCTCCATCTGTTTTGCTGGCGAGGCTGCTTTCACAGAACCGTAGTCCAGCCCAGGTTGGCAGGGACCTCGAAAGATCGTCTGGTCCAGCCCTTCGTGGGAAAGGGAGCCGAGATGAGGTGTAGTCCCCACCACTGAAAGCAGGCCAACAGGAACTGCAGATGGCTAAAGAGCTGCTGCTGACAGGAGAGCAGGAAGGAGTTCAAGGCCAGAGCTCCTGGAAATGGAAATGCTCTCAGAGGAAGAGGTCACAAGATCCTCTTTTCCCTTCATCTAAAACCAAAATGTAAAACCCAACGCTTCGATATTTTGGTTTCAGCTGTCGTCGTAAGCAGCAACCGGTGGTGCAGTCTGCAGATTTTATTCTCAGGAGACTCCACGTTGCTTCCGAGTTGCCTTTCTTCGGTTTCTCCTTCTGTGGAGATATAGCCAGAGATCGGGTAACTACCATTTCTTTTTGCAGAGCATATGTTGGCTATAGTCAACAGGGATAATATTTCTATGTTCCAAGACAAGGGTGGTTTCTGTGGTAAAGCGAAGTCTATGAATAGAAGTCAGTGTCTGGACGCATGCTTAAAATTGGTTCTTGGTGAGACACTTTGAAATCACGGGCCACGGAAGTTTTTAGTTCTGTCCAGTATAAAACAATACGGATCAGGCTCCCCACTGACGGGAATCTTCCCGCGTGCTGTGCCGGGCTTTGGTTACACGCTGCGATCACCGACACCTTACCGCGTTGTTGTTGCTGCTACAGTTCGTGCAAAATCGCTTACTCTCCGCGTAGCGCTCAGCTGCCGCGCCTTTTCCTTGTTCTTGAAGGGCTTGGGGAAGCAGCCGGTTGCGGCCACGAAGGCAAGGCGGCGGCGCGGCCGGGGGAAAGAGCAGGGCGCGGGGCTCCCGCCAGGTGGCGGTCGGTGGCCACCAAAGGCTGCGGTCGGTGGCAACCAAAGGCTGCAGCCAGCGGCCGCCCCGCCTCGGCCCGCCCCCGCCGCTGGCATCGTTTCACGACGCCAGAAGGCGAACAAGCTGAAAAGCAATCATCATTTGAAACAGTTTTAAATTGTTGGGGCACAAACTAGTTGCTGACAGACACTGGAGAAGAATTTCCTTAGATTTACCACTCTATATCTATAAAACTTGTCCTCTAGTGGAGAGTATTCACTATACAACCTCTCATTCTTTAACCGGACTGTGTAACTGCTTACCTCCGAATTCAGACTGAAGAACTCCTTACTTGGAAAAATTAAAATATTTCATCTTATTTCATACACTTAGCTTTTTCCCTGGAATGTAAATAATTTTATAAGGAAACGCCATTATTCAACGGGTTCTCAGCTGTAGGGTGTTTTACGGATGTCCCGTGCTGTGCCGAAAGGGGCGATGCTACGGGCTCCCGCACGCCCGTCCGTCTGTAGGCTTCACGGCTGACTGGCGGCGCTGCTGCCGGGAAGGGAGGGAAAG